CACAAATTCTACTGTACGTCAACAAATTATGTGTTATACTAACTCTTAAATTGTGGCGGTAGTAAATATCAAGACCAGAGAGACGAACTTCTTATAGAAGGTAAGTATAATACTCCTCCGTCCTCTCTCTTAACGCTACTTCATCAACTTCGGAAAAGGTCACAAACGCCCGGTTTTTGAAAGGGGGTTACTCCGGCAGTTGACTACTCGTTGACTGATATCAGCAGATGTGAGATCAACGAGTCGTCAATCTCTTGTCAAGTATTTAATGAGTTACTAAAGTAAAAACATCCTCAGATATTGGCACCGATTTAAGTTTAAGATCAGTTTACAGAACTGTCAAGTTTTACTTTAAGATCTTTTTTTAAATGCAATTTTAAGACAGCTATAAACTTGAGAGCTCTTCAATGAACAATATTTGGGTGAGCCTTTCAGAAACCGAGAGTCTGAGAAACCAAATCGGGTTGCGGATGCGAAGACTGACTACTAAGTAAGGCCTACAAAAGTGAAACTATTTTATTATCCTAGTAGCATAATATTGTTTATGTTTTACAATGTATTCATTTAGACCACACGATAGCCAAAATATTACGACTCTACGTTTAAATACGTTTCAAAGTACGATCTTTTAATATTTAGAACGAAGAATGTAAAGATCGAGGATATTAAATTAGAGGATAAAACAAAAACTGTAAACACTATTAATTTAAGCAAGTTAATTCTATCAAACAAAGTACACTTTTAGATACCATTTCATGCGCCAGCATCTGCTATCAATCTAAATTTGACATGATTAAAATAAGACATTTTGCGAATATAAAAGAAAGAGTGACAGCAATGGTGATCAATAATGTTAACTTATGATCGTTTTGTAAGATTATTAATGATAACAAATGGCCTAGAATGCAGGTATTGTTAATTTACGAGAACCTTAACCTATATCGTCGAAAGATATTGTCCAGATTCGCAAGATGAGTCACGGGATAGGTAGGTACAATTTGAATGAACTGGCTAATTCGATGCACCGGGGTGTTAAAATGAGCCGGTAGAATCATACACACCTACGTCGACAGTATAAATAAAGTGATAGTAAAAATAAACCCTCGAACCTGTGATTCAAAGTCGTTTCAAATAAACTTGTATGACGGAAGCGTGTGTGGAGGCAAAGTGCCATAATTATGATTTGTAAAGATGTCATACGTATATAATAAGTTACTCCCACCCATAACAGCGCATTCTGTAAAGTCATTACATCATTCAATCACAAGAATCTAGTTCAAAAGTAGAACATTAAAATTGTCTAAAATTGTTAAGCTCTATCTTCATCATCATTATCATCAGTCCACTCGTGGTCATAGGCCTCTTCTCAGAAGAGAGTTGTAGAAGTGTTGGTGTAGGGTTTGTTTCAAGTTTTCCTTCTCTAATTTATTAATCTAATCTCTAACATCATCATCATCAGCCTATCGCAGTCCACTGCTGGACATAGGCCTTTCGAATTGCACGCCACTTACGCCACGATCGATTTTGAGCCTCTCGCATCCAGCTAATCTAATTCTACATTTAGTTCAATTTAGTTCAGGCTTTATAGGGACTTCCGGGCACCAGGCAGCTTATCTTACAAGTGCACGACCTTGACCTGTCTTCCATTCCCACTTCATCCAGATGTCACTTGACGGGTCTGTTGGTCTAGTGGTTAGTGCCCCTAACTGTTAAGCCGGACGTGTTTTCGATTCCCACCCAGGACAAATATTGTGTGATGAGCATGCATTCGGTGTCTGGGTGTAATTTACCTATAATATGTTTGAATTTAAAAATATATAAGTATGTTTATCGGCAGTCTGGTCACCATAGCAGAGGCTGTGCCTAGTTTGGCATCAAACAGTCGTGTGTAAGATGTGTGAAAATATTATCATTATTATTATTATCTTTGTAAGCAATTTCCCATTTCTACCATTGCCATTCCATCTCACCCACGTTTCAATTTCTTTTTTCTTTCTTTTTTTTTTAATATAAAAGACAACTCCCGCATTAGGAATATATCCTGTGTCGCGGGGGACTTTACAAACATACATGAAACGGACACAAAGAACACCCAGACTCAGAACAACAAATTGTGGATCACACAAAGTGTCGTCCCATGTGGGGTTTGAACCCACAACACTCGACGTAGTAGGAAGCGGCGTGGCGACTGCTTAAACCACTACGCCATCCGTGCAGCCATTCAATACGTTCCCAACTGATTCTTTCAGTGTCCGATGGACGGCAACAAGGTTATAATTCCCTATTACTTAAGTGAGATTAAAATTATAGTCGGCAAAATCTGGGTGTTAATACGCCCATGTCTACCCCTCCAGGGATATAGGCGTGAGGGTATGTATATACTCATGATTCCAAAAATAACATGAACTAAATTTAAAAAAATCAATCACCCGAATGCAAAAAGACAATTGAAAAGTAATGCACTAAAATAAAAAGACCGAAACAGTACGAGGTCCGGCACAAACATGGCCCACTTCTTTTCGCTATCAAAACTTTTTAAACCAATTATTAATCCTTACTAAATTTAAATATATATCTGTGTAAACGCCGTTTTAATTTGCTTGCTTTTTAACACGCTTTTATTAGCTTCACCTGTATGTTTGTTTGTTTGTATGTAACCGACTCCTTTGAGCTCGATTTTGCCCTACTTTGAACGATCAGATTTGATTCAAACTTTGCACACCTGTTAAAGGTCGATGACAATGCAATAATCCGATCAAAATATCCGATTATCCTAATTAGATTCGCCAGGATTAATTAATTTCTTTCCGCATCCTATGCATGCGAGTAAGAGAGACAGAGCTAGTGCGCGAACTACCCATGCGTGCAGTTCCAGACTTACTCTTTCTCTTTACTTAGTCTCACTTTAGTAGTAAATTGATGTAATGATAAATAAGTAATTTATAGTTTAAAAAATTTAACTAAAAAATTAAAAATAAATAATAGTTTAAAAAAACTAAAAAAACACGCTTTTATAGAAAATCCAACTAAAAAACAGAAAATAAAGTTTTATAAATTTTCACGCTTTTTTACAATAATGTACATTCATTTTTTTTTTACACTGTACTTAATCAAACTTAATCAAATTTACACTATTCTTAATCCAAATTTATAAAACTTTATTTTCTGTTTTTTAGTTGGATTTTCTATAAAAGCGTGTTTTTTTAGTTTTTTTAAACTATTATTTTTATACCATACTCGATGGGTTTGGTTATTTTTTTATTTATCTTTACCATTTAGCGCCAAAAATCCGCCATTTTCTCTTTTTCTTTTACAAAGCCATCTGAGGACACTTCGGCTTTTGAGACCGACAACAACGGAAAACAATAAGTTAACTGTCGAAATACATCAAGCCATTTGAAAAAATAATCCTACTGACAGTGTTTAATTTCGTCAAACATGAAGAAATTAAGGGCTTCAACGTTTCATAGGTACTTTTATTTTTATTCTATTCGTGTTTTATTTGTTGACAGCGCACAAACATAATAGCCAATCTAAAGTTTCTGAATAACAGTGGGGATTAGGTATAATGTACAAAAACATGAGCATAATATATGTCTAGGTATATTTATGTACATGTACCGGAACTATAGTGAAGGAAGGAAGTTATGAAATACCTATTACGTGAATAGGTATGAAACCTTTAAATTGCTTTCAATTTCGATCAGGTTGACCGAAAAGTAAACTAGACTGACCGTGGTCACAGGATATCATGGAATGCACATTTGAAAGTTTGTTTGTTTAATGGTATAAGGCGGCAAACGAGAAGACCTGTCACCTGATAGAAAAAACGCACAATTAATTAATTTTTGTATGAATTTGACACAGTAACTGGAACCTAGTTACCAGTTAAAAAACTATCAAGAAAAACGTACATTTGTGGAGCATGAATACGACTCGATAAATTTCTACATATACCTACATATGTTTTACATATGGCTATTTACCGAGCTATACATATATCTTATAATACTGTCCACAACTGAGAACTTGTGATATTTGTTATAGTGTGTTATTTGCGTGGACAATTTATTATGAAAGAAATACCATTAAATCAGCACGTGGCTGACGCACGAACTAGACAGATATTACTGTGGGTAGGTAGATCATTCTTGGCATTGTAGACTTTTGTAATCCATAGACAACTTTGGCTTTTTGAGAATGTTCATTTTGTATCTCTTTGGTTTTAATTTTATAGGGAATGGGCTAGTTGACTAAATTTAAAAACTTGTTTAATTATATACTTTAATATCTATTTTATCCCAAAAACCTATATTTTAAAGAAAAAGCGTGGCGTCTTGAATGACGGCACAGTCTGCGAAACAAAACTGTTTACTTCTGTATCCAGTGTCAACTGTTTTCTAAAAATGAATAAGGAATAAGGAGTAACCTGCTCTGTTGTATGAAAGATTGGTGTTCGCTGTCACGTGACTTAATGCCTATTTTGATTGAATTATTATTTTGAAATTATTAATAATAACAACTAATAATAATTTAAAACTATAAACCAAGCAATTTGTTATTAGTAGACACAAGCCTGGTGTTATTGTAGTTTAAATGTATAAAGAAGTTAAATTACACATTTACTTTTACACAGCGTCAGAATGTTAGTTTGTTATATTTTTGATTAGTGTCTTCGATTAGTAGTCATTTTTATAAATTTTTAGATCAAATACAACAGTTTCAAGTCCTATAAATTAAGTAATGTAAGTCGAAATACCTACTTAGTCTTAAATAAGTTAAATTAAGTACGTAGTCAAAAGTAGTGGGGATTTTTTTGCTCCTAAAACATAAATGATATCAAACGTTAATCTGTTTTTATGTAGTTTAAGATATATTTATCTATAGCTGTAGTAAAGGATTTTAAAAAAATAAGTTCTTAGCATAATCTTTTTAGGTATCGTTGTAGAAATTCCCCCTAAACCCTAAGCCTTAACTAAAAGGTGACACGATTTACTTACAGTTCCAGCACCACACACATGTATTTCCCCCATTCATAGGCATCATATAGTTGAATCAGCCGAGGGTGTCGGAGCCGCCTCATCACATCCACTTCCCTCTCAACGTTTCGCCTCTCATCACGTCTGTTTACCATAACCAGCTTTGCAGCTAATTCTAGACCCGTGCTTCGCTCCCGACAGAGGTATACTGTCCCGAATTTGCCTCTGAAAAGAATAAACATTTGTAAGGGTTTTCTCGTGAGGGTCCTTAGGTACGTGTATATTTCGAGGATACAGACTTATTACATTAATAATTGACTAAATTTGGGTCTGATTTATAAGGGTGAGAACTGATATGCCGCATCGTCGGGTGTTAAGCGCTATACAGGCGGCATCGAATCTAAAAATATTTTATACTTTCTCAAATACTTTCTAATACTTTTAAGTTTGATAGATTTTGATACATAAAATAGAAAAAAAAGTCAACAATAATATTTCTTATCTAAAAATAAAAACTTAATTGCTACTTCCGTCTTAGTAAAGTCACCTTGCAAGACATCGCTCAGAAATAAATTAATCGATCATATCTATTCACATGTTAGATCATTTTTTAAATAACATCCTTAGTTTTGTAGTAGTATCGTGAAACATGTTGTCAATAAGACTAATTAGAACAGTGTTATATATACTTAACACAATTAGGTCACAAATTACGGCGAACACCTTTCTTCGACAAGGATCACAATGCTTGCCACTGAATTTTTGTGGAAATCATGTCACAATGGTTTCAAGTCTTTTGAAGGCATCAGCTAAGGCCTCGCAAGGCGGCCAATTTTTCTGCTTCAAAATCTTGATACACGCATCAGAACTTTTGAAAATTATTAAAATTCTACCGTATTAATGTTTCCGCCTTAGAACCTGGGGTGGTATATCAATCAAAAGTAAGCTGAAATTGCCGGGAGATGCCGGAACTCGAAAAAAGGATGGTCGGAGTAACCGGGTGGAAATCGCTGCTCTAACAGCGTTGATGATATGCTAAATAAATTCCTCCTGAGGACAAATCCTAAATTTTTATCATATTGTTACTACACGAATTTTCCATTCTGACACATATATTTCGAGTAAACTCCCGGATTTTGATTAACAATATATTTTAACGAGTACAATACATTCATATGCTGATAAGTTAGATAACAGTGATAAGCGTTATCATAATCATTATTTATCACCTAGCCTCTGTTAAGAGTGTTGGTTTAATACAATATACATAAGTGGAACACACCTGCCGATCTCCGATAGCATTTCGTAAAAATCGTTGACATCCGTGGCCCTTTTGATGTTGACATCTCGGTGAGAGAATGGCGGCTCAATTTCTGGAACAAAATATATGAAAAGATGAATTTTGATGACTAAAAATAACATAGGTATCAATGAGTGGATCTAACCATTATCTAATAGCGGTTACATTTTTGAATTCCTTGGTGGTGCATTAGTAGCGTATGCGACTGCTGTGCTGAGGTCTCGGGTTCTGAGATGAGGATTTTTCTTATAATCCCTATATATATGTAGATTCCCGGGTCGGGTCAAATCTTTGAATGATCTGCAAATATTTGTTTCGGAGTTTGGGTGTATTCTATGTATAATATGTATGTATTTACTGAAAAAAAGTATATAAGCATTCTATCAGTCAATCTAGCTTTCATAGTACAAGTTCTGCTTAGTTTGAAACTGGATGACGTTGTGTGGCAGATGTCCGAAAATATTATTATTAGTATTCAAACTACTTGGAGATACTACCATATGATTATTCGAGATATTTAGCCAATTTTTTTACGGTTATATTGCCATCCCTTCCTATAATTTTATGGCATATAAAAGCTTGCAATATTATTGTACGTTGCATCGATGAAAAAAAACGTCAAGATTTTTTTGTATCTCGAAACATTTTGCAGCATCTGGATATCATTTAGCTGCGAATGAAGCGATGAAGTTTAAAGACTGTGCGTCAAATGGTTGTTTATGTACATATAACATATTATATCTTTACCAGACACTTTTATTTTAGCCTTTGAACGTATCACTGGCACTGGCATTGTTATTGACTTTATAAAGGACAAACGGTCGTAGTCACTGTATATACCGGGAATGCTCGACTAATTTCGAACCTGGTCCAGGTTATCAATGTATGAGGTGGAGGTTGAAGGTGTTTCTAAGTGTTAATAACATTTCTTGAAGGAATCGTTCTACTGGTTACAAAACAGATTATACTAATTCCTAACACGTAGATAAACTTTGAAAAGTTAAAGGTGGCTGTGGATCAAACCAATTGACCTGAGACTACTACATTCACACGCATTTGAATATTTCTACATGACTAATATTATTAAGTGTAAGTTTGTTACTTTGCTGTATTAAGCCGAGTAGGCAAAATCCGATTATAAATTAAGGTTAGGCAAAACTTAACCAAATAAACTATTGTCAAGTACGCGTAAATTTAAATGCGACTGAAACTGTGGCATAATACAAGTTTTAAATTGTATATAACTTTCATACTTCATCCACAGATAAAAAACAATAATTATAAATAACAATAATTAAAAAACAATAACAATAATTAAAAATAACAATAATTTAAAACCCGTCAGCGCATTTCAAACTAATGGGCAAAATGTTTCCCAGGACATCGTCGACTCTCTGACTCACAATATAAACGGTATTTTTCTCTGAATCCAGTACAGATACCTGGATTGAATACTTAAGTAGAAAAGGACATTTTAAGGTCAGTGCCACTCTGCGGTTATGACCTAAACCAATATCAAGGGCTGTATTAGTAACAGGTAAGTATTGTATTGTCCATGAATTATAAACAGCATTAGGATACGCTGCCTAAATTCTAATTAAATTTTCTTATTTCATAAAAGTGGTTACCAATTACTTGAAACCGTCCATTGCCTTTTTTTATGGTAAAATGCTGAAAATGAGCTAACGGGTCGCCTGATGGCCGACTGCCGCCGCCCACTGACATGGACACCAACTTAAGAGTTATAAGCGCATTGTCTTTTTTTTAATTATTAGCATTTTAGATGCACACACAATGTCACCCTCCGTTGGTTGTTTTGTCTGTTGCCGAGTCTGTCTGTGTCGATCTATAACCGCCTGTTTCCAAATGGTTGTACTTTGTGAGAAGAAATTGTCCAAAAAATTCATGGTCACTCTTTTAATAGTGCCGTAATACAATAATTAAAATTATTGTATTAATATTAATAATTAATATTAATAATTAATATTAATAATTAATATTTAATATTAATAATTAATATTAATAATTAAAATTATTGTATTACGACATTGTTTTGTTGTGAGCTATTGTGTTAGTAGTTAATTATTAAAAAATATAAACAAAAAATCCTGACTACTTGAAATGTTTCATCAACGGCCTTCAATAGTCCACTACTGGATATAAGCCTCTCCTTAGAAAAGAGGTTTCGGCTTCCTATACCACGCAGGCCAGACGGGTTGGTATGCTGTTGTTTCGTGTAGTTTGCTCCCTTACTCGGCTCTACGACAACCGCGGGATTAATAGGGTGGTGACACTCAGTATTCTTAATCTGTCACCACACGGAAAAGAAATTAAATGTATAGGTATATCTATATAAACCTAAAATTTATAATCCGGCGATTTTAATTATTAGAATTTTCATATACTTATGTTCGACACCTCCCAAGACAAAATCCAATATGCCGTTTAGACTCAGAGCGTGCCAAAGAAAAATAGATACACACGTAAATACACTTGAAAATTATATCGCTTCTTCTGGCGTAATTGTGTAAAAACAAACATAGGTGTGATTGTGATTAATGACATGATTTAAAACGTCAGTACATAGATTTAATGATCTTTTTTTTTCCTGTTATCATCACTTTCTACACAAGTTTGTTTATCGACAAACACACCTACTTCCCTTTTTTAATCACTTTGATGCAGTAGATAAGTACTTTTTTTTTAAACATGAGACTACGATACGTTCGTTAGCTGTAATGAACTAATGAATATGTATAATATTTTACAATATAATTTTAACTTGTGACATATTTATTATACATAAAAAAGTTGATTCGTGTACTCTTTATTTATTTATTTTAAACTTAATGCACATGTTGTACAAACGCGGGCTTAATGCCATTAGGCATTCTCTCCCAGTCAACCTTCAGGTGATGTAGAAATATGCTGCGGTAGGTGCAAAATATTTAGGTCCAGAGATATACAAAATATATAAACACACATACATACATAAACCTACATAAATTTAATAAAATATATAAGTACTCAGTCGGGTACTAGCGTTGTGACTGTTCTGCCAATTCACCCCGAAGAAGATCGCGCACTTTTCTCTTGAATGCAACGCGGTTTGTGGACATCCTGATTTAGGCAGGGAGAGCATTCCAGAGAAGAACTGACTGGACGTAGAAGGAGGTGTCGGAGGATGAAGTTGGAGGTGTGAGGGCATAGAAGAAGCATATTGTTGGTTGATGGAAGATTTCGATCGTGATATCAGCATAAGAAACGGAAGATACGAGGTATTCAGGTAACGATGGAGAGTTGAGGAAAGAAAAGAGAGAAGTCAGTGCTCGTAAACTGTGGCGCTGACGAATTGGGAGCCATTGCAGCTGGGAACGTAAAGCAGACACGTGGTCATACTTGCGAAGATTGAAAACGAATCGAATGCAGTTATTGAGAAGGCGATCTAGTTTATTGGTTACTACTCTTTGTAGTCCATAGTTCCATATTTTGCAGTATATTTTTCTAAACTAAATGCTTTTTTCATAGCATGGCTAGCTAATGAGCAGACGACGTGTCACCTGATGGTAAATGACCACCACCTTTAGTGATACCGATAGTCATCATATTGTCTTACAAAATACATTTATTGATCGAAAATACATCATCACTCCTCGCAAAAGATGCTTTTGGGCGTTTCGGTCCGCGGGCCGAAACACGAGCGGGCCGAAACGCCCCAATACCCTACTTGTTTGCGAAGGCTAAAATTTCTAGACTGTCTGCTTAAAATTCATGATTTATTAATGTTTAAATAAGTATCATCGTCCTCAATACGCCTAAATCATAAGGAATTGTAATAAACCGTATCCTTCATTTATTAATATTCCATCCTTAGGGATAGTATTGTTTCTTAAAATTTGAATGGAACCAAATGGAAAGTAAAAGTATAACGTTTCAAATAAAAAATAATTTTCCACATCCATACTAATATTATAAATGCGAAAGTGTGTCTGTCTAGCCGTCTGTTACCTCTTCACGCTTAAGCCGCTGAACCGATTTAAATAAAATTTGTTATAGACATAGTTGGAGTCCCGGGAAAGGACATAGGATATTGCTAAATTTGACAAAACAGAGATTGTTTCTTTTGTGCGTCTTGATCTATGACTTTAGAGTGTACAGTCATAAGAGGCGAATTCAAACAACTTTAAAAAAATTATGAAATAAAGATATTTACAGTTTGATGTTTTAATCTTAGAAATCATGATTTAAGAGGGTGAAAATAGGGCGGAAGTTTGTATGGGAAATCAATAACCGCTGAACCGACTCAGATGCAATTTGGTATGGAAAAAGTTTGATTCTTGAGAAAGGACTTAGGTTTTTTACCGCGATAACCGACAAACACGCGGGCAGCGCCGCGGGCAAAAGCTCGTCATTTCATAAATGAAGGAGTTTTGAGGTAACAAACAAATAATAATATAACCAAATTAGGATCTTCTTTTTTTTCAGAATTATTAGTTTTCTGTCTCTAATAAGCATTACTAATAAGACTAAATTATCTATGGTATCGGAGATAAACTTGCACCTTATTATCTGATTGCAACACGTTACAAAGTGACGCGATCTACCGATGTCAACGTAGTTTAATATTCGTGACTTGGTGCCCTTGTTCTCACTGGTGGCAAAGGGTAGGGGAATGGTAATAAAGACCATGAGATTGCAACGACAACACTTTCTGTTAATTCAAACATTTTTTGGTGTGTCCAACAATTAATTTAATTTTTACTTTGTTAATTGCCTGTTAATATATTAGGAGATTGATTTATATCCATTAATCTCTTCTTAATAAATCATCTCTTCTTCATCATATTCTTATATTTGATACTTTACGCCCAAAAATCAAATTATACAATGGCGGACTCAATGCCTACCACAGGCATTTTTATCACTCTACCTTCGGATAGTGCAGATGTGTACTAGGTATACTGGATTTAAGTGGAAATCTCTGTAGTCTTGGTTTTGTTCTTCATCAATCTAGTTCTATAAAGCTTATTTAAACTGTTTTTAGGTTATGGGAAATTTAATCTTTTACCACAT